TATTAAATAAAATAATTTATAAAATATAAATACAATAAAACAAATACCTGATTTTAGTTTTTTCTTCTATACCAATAAAAGACAAAATTTCATTGACAATATAATCATAAAAACTGTGAACGGTAATATCAAATTTATGTTGTTGTAAGTATGATGTTACTTTTAATTGAACATCTTTATTGTCAATAATACTTTCTCTAAGATATTTTTCACAATTACTATTAGGAATATCACCATATTCAATAAATGCTTTAGTCCAACTTCTAACACAACGAGCAAATCATATTCCTCGATTTAATAGGTCTGCAACAATCTGACTTGCTTCTAACTTCGCGTGACCTTTGTTAAGGAGTTATAAATAATATTGAACGGCTATAAGTTGCAACTTATATCCTGAAGTTAAATGTTCACTTTCAAGTTTTAGTTTATTTTCAATTCTATTAATTAATGCATTTTTATTAGCATTATCAGATTTAGAACTACCACCAGAACCACTAGAAGAATTACCACCAGAGGAACCACCAGAAGAACCACCACTAGAAAAACCACCAGAAGAACCATCACCAGAGGAACCACCATCAAAATTATTGTCAGAAGAACCACCACCAGTATTATTTTTATTATTTAATAGTTAATGGAGTGTTTGCCCATTTTTCTTTTGATTTTCTATTGCTTAGAATTTTTTTCGGTATTTTGTTGTTCGTGAGTTTCCTACATTTACTAATAGACGTTTGGAATGTTTTAATGCTTTCATATTTTTAGTTAAAACTAAAAAAGCTATTCCGCCTCATCCTCATTGGTCTATCCAACTTCATCATCTATGCTAATTTCATCATCTAAACCTAAATTGTTATTAAAATAGGTATTGTCATTATTTTTCGCAGTTTGAAGTTCTCTTTTCTTTGCTATCTTTCGATACTGTTGAGTTCGTCATTTTAGGTGCTCCATTAGTGAGAAAAAAAATAGATCAGTTGATCAACATACGCATGCAATCTAAACTATTTACGTAAGTGACCTACATTAAGCATAATTTTAGCCAAAGTTATATGTTTCAAATCCGTTTCCGCTTAAGAAAATACTTAAACTTTATCAGTTAATAACTTTTGATCTAGATTTCTGATTAGAGTAATTTCAATGTCATTTTATAACACCAGTCAATATCAATTGAATTACGTTGAAATATTTTAAATATAGGCACTAAAAAAATTTTTATTTCATTTTTAAGTTCGATAAATTTATTGGATGGCTTATTGTGACATAAATTGTACAATTGTTTTTTTTAATCAAAGAAGACTATAAAATTTAATACTACTAGTAAACTTTAAATAATCTATGTTTACAACCTAAAACATCCAAAAATACTGACATTGAAAAAGCAATTTATTCTTGTATAATAAATTCAAGATTATAATAAGAAACTATTATAAACTTCTTAAATTATAAATCTTGAATCATAAGATTTACCAATTAATTTGCCTTTCAATAATAGTAATAAAAAAAAGACTTTGAAGTTTAATAATTATCACTTTCAAAATATCAACTTTTACTTTAAATAATAATCATAAATACTTATAATATTGTAATATTTATAAAAAATACTATATCAAGCTTATTAAAAAATATATTAAACTTTTTGCAATATAATTTTTATTTGATATATTATAATAATTATGTCAAGTTGATATTTTCATAAAAAATTCAACTCTGATAGTAAATCTGGTAAAATATCAATATAAAACATCATAAGCAAACAATTAATAAGCAGGTAATATACTATAATATAATGTACTTTACATTATTTTAGATATACACATAAATAGATATTTAAATTTATTATTTAAATATTATATAGGCTAATAGAAAATAACTTGTTGTTATACAGTCAAACCTCTATATACCAATACTGCTATTTTAGAAAAAAGTATTGATATATCAAATTATTAGTGTATTTATATACTGATATTAATATTAAATGTTTAATCAGTATCAGTATACAAAATTTTTCACCATTTCAACTGTAAACTTAAATTTTTTTAATAAAACATTATAAATTTTCATAAATTTACTATTCAAATTATTTATATAATTATTATTAGTAATGTTTTATTATTAGGAATATTATTGTGTATTACAAAATTTGGATAAAACTATCTAATGTAATTTGTTTTAAATCATCAATATGTGATTTTAATACCCAATGTCTCAATTTCTATAATAAATTTAATTTATTTGAATTAATAGAAATATCTAATAAATTTTCAAAAAATATAACAAGATCATTTAAATGATTCAAAGCTTTTTTTTTTGAGATTACTGCTAAAGGCTCATCATCTTATTCTACCCCAGATTTATTATTATTTAGTTTTTTACCATAGATATAATTTCATCATCTGTCAATTCTTTATTAATTTTTAAACAGTCGTCAAGATAAAGAAATTCTTCAATATCTATAAGATCATTAAATGGAAGTTGATTAATAAGATTTTGTAATTCCATTTCATTATGAAATGCCAATTGTCATCATCTTCAATTTCATCAATTTCATCCATTTCATTATATAGAAGAATTTCTGTATGCTTTTAACAATTATTAATTATTTTTTGGCTAACAGAATTCTAAGCATTATTGCTAAAATTAATAGCATCATTAATATTTAAAGAAATTGCTTTTTTATTTAATTCTTGTGAAATTTCATATGATTCAATCCTGTTTTTAATAAATAACTTTTGATATTGCATCTAAATTAATAAAAAATTACATTATAAATAAATATAAAAAATATGTATTAGCAATAAAAAAAAATAAATTACTAACTTTAAAAGAATTGATAATTCCAGCATCACAAGGTTGTAAGTGAGAGATTATATTGGATGGTAAAAAGTGTATAGTCACATTTGTCAAATTATTATCTTCATTTATAATATACACAGAAGCATTGTTGACTAATAAAGGATCTTGCGATTTTGTGATTACATTTGCGCATTCAATTTTTTAAGATATTCATTCCATATAAAAACTTGCATCTATGCAGTCGAATTCCAGTAATAATCAACTGGTAATTCTTCTTTTTTCTTATCTTTTAATGCTCGTGGATTTTGGTAAGTATGAATAAAAAGTGGCTTTAATTTTTCTGATCCAGTTGCATTACATGTAAAAAGAATAGTAACTTTTTTTTTAGATTTTTTTTTTCAAAAAGTGGTCCTTTTACTAATATCTTTGATAGTTCAAGATTTCAATACAAACCTAAAATAAATGAAAATTTTATATGTATAAGTTTAAATTTTTTACAAAATAAAAAAATTTACCTGTCTCATCATAATTAAAAACATCATTTAAATCATACTCCTTAATAATTTCATGCAATTTTTGTCTTTTCTCATTTAAAGTTTCCAGTGAAGCACTTGCTGCCTCTTCTGATTTAGTATATTCTCTTATGTTATTGCATTTTTTAAAATTATAAATCTATCCATTAGAAACTAAAAAGTTATTAGTTTCAAAATGCTTGATGAAAAATTATACCTTTTCGCATAAAATATCAGTATTAATGGTAAGTTCTGCTGCAAGTGCATTTGTAACCCATAATGCTATAGCTTCTTCTACTTGTGAAAATTGTAAAGACCTGTTCCTTTGTTTTTTGCCTTCTTCTAAGTTCATATCTATGTGTAACCATTTTCCTTTATTTCTTAAAATATCTGAAACAGTATTTTGTTTAATACCATATTGAATAGCAAGTTGTTCTTAAGTTGGCTGTAGTTTTTTTTGAAATTCCAAACAAAGTTGATATTTTTGTGCTTTTATTAAAGTAACTCATTTTCTCAGCTGAAATAGTTGTTGAACTGTTTTCTTTTATCTGACATTGTTGAAAGAGAACAAAGAAAAAATGAGCATCATGTAATTGATCTAACCTTAAATAGTTAGCATATTGATATATCGATATATAAATCAGATTTTCTAATATGTTACTATATATAGGACTAAAAGATAATATCAGTATACATTATATTGTGAAATAATATAAAATATCAATATAATAAGGTTTTTTTATTAATAGTAAAACAGTGAGGAAAAAAATTATCAGTATAAGCAAATATTATTATATATTGTATCAATATATCGAGGTCTTATTGTATATTTATTAGAAATTAGCATAATCAGTAAAAAAGAGAAATAAGATTAATCAGACAAATTATATTTTACAAATTTCTTAATATATTCTAAAACAATTAATATTTAATAATAAATCTGTATATAATAGGAGATCATTATCAAAAAGATATAGATGGAGTTTAAAAGAAGCTTATACAGAAAAATCTTTTTTTTTATTAAAAGATAATGATTTATAATTAATAGTGGTTTATGTATAAATGAATTATTAGCTTATGGAATATAAGAGAATCTAATAAGTGCAAAAATTTTGAATATTTTATAGAATATATACTGGTATAATATGTTTTATATTTATTGATTATTTTTTTATAAATAATTTATAAATTAATTTAATATTTATTATAATTATCAAAAATGAATCATTTTTTTAAATCATATAATATATTAATTTTAAATAGTATCTCTATTAATAAGAGAAAATATTAAAAACTTTATGTAAAAAAAAAGTATATATTAGAATTTTTATTATTATATTCATCTGACTATAACTTTATAAGTTAAATTTTCATTTATAAATTTAATATTTATTTATTATTAATAATATATACTAATATATATATTTTTTTAGACTGAACAATTATTTTATTATATTAAAATTTTTTTAAAATAAAATTATAATTAAGTAAAAATTTTAAAAGATTTTACACAAATATTAAATTTAAATTGTATGTCATTTAGAAAAGAGCTAACTAATATATGTTTTTAATATATCAAATATATTTAAATTTTATAAATAAATAAATATATTTTATACAAAATTAACAAAAAGATTATTTTATTATTATTTATTAATTATTATTATTATTATTATTATCACTATTACTATTATTATTATTAATAAATATAAAATATTAAAAAATTTTATCAAAATCTATTGAGATTAATTCTATATCAACCCAAATATTTACATGTTCTTTAAAAAAATTGTATCAATTACTTGATTTAGAAAATATTTCTTTATATTATTATTAAGTAATAATTTTATAACAAATTTCTTATTGTTAGTAGATTCTAATAGAAATACAAAAGTCATAAATTCTTTAAAAGTTATTTCTTTTGATATATTAATATTAGATTTATATAAGGATTTTTTTTTATATGAATTGTAATACTTTTTAATAAAGATATACTTATTAATTTAATTTTAATAGAATTTTTAAATGTTATCAATGGAGCAATTAACCAGTCATAATGAAATCACGTGAATGGCATAGTATAACAATCTCTTAATTCAGAATTCTGAAAATACTGAGAATTCTGCAAATTCTGAAAATACGAAAGATTTACGTAATTCTGAAGATCTTCCAAATACTGATGATAATCCAAATTTTACGAATTAAATGAAGTCTAAGAATATTTAATGTTATACTTATTTTTAATATTCTAAATTTTATTATTATTTTCATTATATTTTATATTTTTATTATTTTACGTATTTTTATTATTTTCAATAAATTTATTTTACTTATATTTTATTTTGCTAAATTAGTTAGTTTATAGCATAGTAATTAGTTAGTTGTAACAAAAGAAATTTTGTATAAATAGATAGACTTTTTGCTTATATTGTAAATTAACTCTTTTACAGATTAACAATTGAGTTTCAATATTAATAAAGGAATCATTCAAAACTTATATCTTTTTGCCTCTTCATGTCTTCATA